GTGCGGCAGAGCAGGTGAGTGGTGCGGCAGAGCAGGTGAGTGGTGCGGCAGAGCAGGTGAGTGGTGCGGCAGAGCAGGTGAGTGGTGCGGCAGAGCAGGTGAGTGGTGCGGCAGAGCAGGTGAGTGGTGCGGCAGAGCAGGTGAGTGGTGCGGCAGAGCAGGTGAGTGGTGCGGCAGAGCAGGTGAGTGGTGCGGCAGAGCAGGTGAGTGGTGCGGCAGAGCAGGTGAGTGGTGCGGCAGAGCAGGTGAGTGGTGCGGCAGAGCAGGTGAGTGGTGCGGCAGAGCAGGTGAGTGGTGCGGCAGAGCAGGTGAGTGGTGCGGCAGAGCAGGTGAGTGGTGCGGCAGAGCAGGTGAGTGGTGCAGCAGAGCAGGTGAGTGGTGCGGCAGAGCAGGTGAGTGGTGCGGCAGAGCAGGTGAGTGGTGCGGCAGAGCAGGTGAGTGGTGCGGCAGAGCAGGTGAGTGGTGCGGCAGAGCAGGTGAGTGGTGCGGCAGAGCAGGTGAGTGGTGCGGCAGAGCAGGTGAGTGGTGCGGCAGAGCAGGTGAGTGGTGCGGCAGAGCAGGTGAGTGGTGCGGCAGAGCAGGTGAGTGGTGCGGCAGAGCAGGTGGTGGTGCGGCAGAGCAGGTGAGTGGTGCGGCAGAGCAGGTGAGTGGTGCGGCAGAGCAGGTGAGTGGTGCGGCAGAGCAGGTGAGTGGTGCGGCAGAGCAGGTGAGTGGTGCGGCAGAGCAGGTGAGTGGTGCGGGAGAGCAGGTGAGTGGTGCGGGCACGAGCAGGTGAGTGGGGTTGCAGAGCAGTGAGTGGCGGCAGAGCAGGTGAGTGGTGCGGCAGAGCATGTGAGTGGTGCGGCAGAGCAGGTGAGTGGTGCGGCAGAGCAGGTGAGTGGTGCGGCAGAGCAGGTGATGGTGCGGCAGAGCAGGTGAGTGGTGCGGCAGAGCAGGTGAGTGGTGCGGCAGAGCAGGTGAGTGGTGCGGCAGAGCAGGTGAGTGGTGCGGCAGAGCAAGGTGAGTGGTGGCGGCAGAGCAGGTGAGTGGTGCGGCAGAGCTGGTGAGTGGTGCGGCAGAGCAGGTGAGTGGTGCGGCAGAGCAGGTAGTGGTGCGGCATAGAGGTGAGTGGTGCGGCAGAGCAGGTGAGTGGTGCGGCAGAGCAGGTGAGTGGTGCGCAGAGCAGGTGAGTGGTGCGGCAGAGCAGGTGAGTGGTGCCGGCAGAGCAGGTGAGTGGTGCGGCAGAGCAGGTGAGTGGTGCGGCAGAGCAGGTGAGTGGTGCGGCAGAGCAGGTGAGTGGTGCGGCAGAGCAGGTGAGTGGTGCGCAGAGCAGGTGAGTGCGTGCGGCAGGTGAGTGGTGCGGCAGAGCAGGTGAGTGGTGCGGCAGAGCAGGTGAGTGGTGCGGCAGAGCAGGTGAGTGGTGCGGCAGAGCAGGTGAGTGGTGCGGCAGAGCAGGTGAGTGGTGCGGCAGAGCAGGTGAGTGGTGCGGCAGAGCAGGTGAGTGGTGCGGCAGAGCAGGTGGAGTGTGCGGCAGAGCAGGTGAGTGGTGCGGCAGAGCAGGTGAGTGGTGCGGCAGAGCAGGTGAGTGGTGCGGCAGAGCAGGTGGTGGTGCGGGCAGAGCAGGTGAGTGGTGCGGCAGAGCAGGTGAGTGGTGCGGCAGAGCTGGTGAGTGGGTGCGGCAGAGCAGGTGAGTGGGTGCGGCAGAGCAGGTGAGTGGTGCGGCAGAGCAGGTGAGTGGTGCGGCAGAGCAGGTGAGTGGTGCGGCAGAGCAGGTGAGTGGTGCGGCAGAGCAGGTGAGTGGTGCGGCAGAGCAGGTGAGTGGTGGCGGCAGAGCAGGTGAGTGGTGCGGCAGAGCAGGGTGAGTGGTGCGGCAGAGCAGGTGAGTGGTGCGGCAGAGCAGGTGAGTGGTGCGGCAGAGCAGGTGAGTGGTGCGGCAGAGCAGGTGAGTGGTGCGGCAGAGCAGGTGAGTGGGTGCGGCAGAGCAGGTGAGTGGTGCGGCAGAGCAGGTGAGTGGTGCGGCAGAGCAGGTGATGTGGTGCAGCAGAGCAGGTGAGTGGTGCGGCAGAGCAGGTGAGTGGTGCGGCAGAGCAGGTGAGTGGTGCGGCAGAGCAGGTGAGTGGTGCGGCAGAGCAGGTGAGTGGTGCGGCAGGAGCAGGTGAGTGGTGCGGCAGAGCAGGTGAGTGGTGCGGCAGAGCAGGTGAGTGGTGCAGGCAGAGCAGGTGAGTGGTGCGGCAGAGCAGGTGAGTGGTGCAGGCAGAGCAGGTGAGTGTGCGGCAGAGCAGGTGAGTGGTGCAGGCAGAGCAGGTGAGTGGTGCGGGCAGAGCAGGTGAGTGGTGCGGCAGAGCAGGTGAGTGGTGCGGCAGAGCAGGTGAGTGGTGCGGCAGAGCAGGTGAGTGGTGCGGCAGAGGCAGGTGAGTGGTGCGGGCAGAGCAGGTGAGTGGTGCGGCAGAGCAGGTGAGTGGTGCGGCAGAGCAGGTGAGTGGTGCTGCAGAGCAGGTGAGTGGTGCAGGCAGAGCAGGTGAGTGGTGCGGCAGAGCAGGTGAGTGGTGCGGCAGAGCAGGTGAGTGGTGCGGCAGAGCAGGTGAGTGGTGGCGGCAGAGCAGGTGAAGTGTGCGGCAGAGCAGGTGAGTGGTGCGGCAGAGCAGGTGAGGTGGTGCGGCAGAGCAGGTGAGTGGTGCGGCAGAGCAGGTGAGTGGTGCGGCAGAGCAGGTGAGTGGTGCGGCAGAGCAGGTGAGTGGTGCGGCAGAGCAGGTGAGTGGTGCGGCAGAGCAGGTGAGTGGTGCGGCAGAGCAGGTGAGTGGTGCGGCAGAGCAGGTGAGTGGTGCGGCAGAGCAGGTGAGTGGTGCGGCAGAGCAGGTGAGTGGTGCGGCAGAGCAGGTGAGTGGTGCGGCAGAGCAGGTGAGTGGTGCAGCAGAGCAGGTGAGTGGTGCGGCAGAGCAGGTGAGTGGTGCGGCAGAGCAGGTGAGTGGTGCGGCAGAGCAGGTGAGTGGTGCAGGCAGAGCAGGTGAGTGGTGCGGCAGAGCAGGTGAGTGGTGCGGCAGAGCAGGTGAGTGGTGCGGCAGAGCAGGTGAGTGGTGCGGCAGAGCAGGTGAGTGGTGCGGCAGAGCAGGTGAGTGGTGCGGCAGAGCAGGTGAGTGGTGCGGCAGAGCAGGTGAGTGGTGCGGCAGAGCAGGTGAGTGGTGCAGCAGAGCAGGTGAGTGGTGCAGCAGAGCAGGTGAGTGGTGCAGCAGAGCAGGTGAGTGGTGCAGCAGAGCAGGTGAGTGGTGCAGCAGAGCAGGTGAGTGGTGCGGCAGAGCAGGTGAGTGGTGCGGCAGAGCAGGTGAGTGGTGCAGGCAGAGCAGGTGAGTGGTGGCAGCAGAGCAGGTGAGTGGTGCGGCAGAGCAGGTGAGTGGTGCGGGCAGAGCAGGGGTGAGTGCGGGGTGCGGCAGAGCAGGTGAGTGGTGCGGCAGAGCAGGTGAGTGGTGCGGCAGAGCAGGTGAGTGGTGCGGCAGAGCAGGTGAGTGGTGCGGCAGAGCAGGTGAGTGGTGCGGCAGAGCAGGTGAGTGGTGCGGCAGAGCAGGTGAGTGGTGCGGCAGAGCAGGTGAGTGGTGCGGCAGAGCAGGTGAGTGGTGCGGCAGAGCAGGTGAGTGGTGCGGCAGAGCAGGTGAGTGGTGCGGCAGAGCAGGTGAGTGGTGCGGCAGAGCAGGTGAGTGGTGCGGCAGAGCAGGTGAGTGGGTGCGGCAGAGCAGGTGAGTGGTGCGGCCAGAGCAGGTGAGTGGTGCGGCAGAGCAGGTGAGTGGTGCGGCAGAGCAGGTGAGTGGTGCGGCAGAGCAGGTGAGTGGTGCGGCAGAGCAGGTGAGTGGTGCGGCAGAGCAGGTGAGTGGTGCGGCAGAGCAGGTGAGTGGTGCAGCAGAGCAGGTGAGTGGTGCGGCAGAGCAGGTGGGTGGTGCGGCAGAGCAGGTGAGTGGTGCGGCAGAGCAGGTGGGTGGTGCGGCAGAGCAGGTGGGTGGTGCGGCAGAGCAGGTGAGTGGTGCGGCAGAGCAGGTGAGTGGTGCGGCAGAGCAGGTGAGTGGTGCGGCAGAGCAGGTGAGTGGTGCGGCAGAGCAGGTGAGTGGTGCGGCAGAGCAGGTGAGTGGTGCAGCAGAGCAGGTGAGTGGTGCGGCTGAGCAGGTGAGTGGTGCAGCAGAGCAGGTGAGTGGTGCGGCAGAGCAGGTGAGTGGTGCAGCAGAGCAGGTGAGTGGTGCAGCAGAGCAGGGCACGGGGTGTGTGGGTGCTGGACTCGCTGCTGATAGCCTGGTGCTGGTGGTGGGGCGTGACGCCAGTAGCCCTGCTGTAGAGCACATGGGTGAGGTGACAGGGCATGGGGCGTGCCAGTGTGGTGGTCGAGGTGTGCCAGTAAAGAAAAATCTCCTACACCAACGAAGCAACACAACGAAGGTGTAGACGACAAGCACGTCCGGAAAAAACCAGTCAAGATGGTTAAGGCTTACAACAAGAAGGGATGCGACGACGAGTATGATATGAAAGAAGAATGCCCCAGAGCAGTAAGAAAACACCTTTAGATAAGATTTGAATGGAAACGGAGCCTTGAGGTGGATAAAACAAAAGAACCAGGCGGGCATTGAACCCCGCTAATCACCTATGATTGGAGGTTTGTGCTACTGGTCCTGAGAAGAATTTGTATAAGTTGAAATATATATTATTGTTGTAAACATCAGCCCCTGACCGTTTCCCTCGTTTGATCGGTAGCCACGGCCATACAATCGCACATGGGTCGCGGAAAGCGCGAGGCGGAGGGCAATCGGAGCGGTAATGGAGGTCGGGGGAAATCGAAGCGGCACAAGTCGCGATACCTGAACGCTGTGAGCCTTTAAACTTATGTCGCGACGCATTAGTCAACATAAACCGCCCGGCAGGCGTGTACCAATGTTTTTCTTGGCTGACAGACGAATAACGACGATAATCAGCGACAATTCTGCAGGCGCGTTCAGTCGCGTTTCGGTCGCGAGTCGCGGCAGCATCCGTTGCGCGTCGCCGCTGCTATGATTGGCGGCGTCGCCGCTGTGATCTCCGCGGCGGCGTGCGCTCACCAGCCCGATCCGCCCCACTTCCCGCCCTTCCTCTTCAACCCCTTCCCCCCCTTTCCTTTCGTGCCCTCTCCTCCCGCTCGCGCACACACCTCCGTCTTCCCTCCCCCCTTCTCTTCTCCTCCTCCCATCGTGTGCTCCCACGGCGCCGCCTCTCCCCTCTGGTCCTCAGATCGCCTTGATCACTTAGGTTTACACAGAGCAGATTTTTCCGCTGTCGCCTCTCCCCTCTGGTCCTGATATCGCTTTGAGCACTTGGTCTTACACAGAGCGGATTTTCCCGCCGTCGCCTCTCTCCTCTGGTCCTCACCCGTCCGGCCCGTGTCGCCCGCTGTCCCCCTTCCCCTCCCCCCACCCCTGCTGTCCCCCTTCCCCTCCCCCCACCCCCGCCGTCTCTCTTCCCTCCCACATCCCGGCCCACGAATCTCCGTTGCCATGCAACCAAAACCCGAAACTCTTGGTTGTTGCTCGCTCTCTCCCATGCACCCAAAACCCGAAACCCTTTGTTGTTGCTCGCTCTCTCCCATGCACCCAAAACCCCAACCTCGATCTCCTCTTTCGAAGTGGCGGCGGGCAGCAGCAGGCAGGGAGCGAGAGTGCAGGTGAAGGATCGATTGTTTCTTCCTTTGCTCCTTCACCCTAAACCCTATGATCCAGAATGGGGGGAAGGCGGCGCCCAGAATGTATGGCAGCAAGGGGGCTGGCAGGGGGAGGGATTGGAGGTGGTTTGCAACCGTTTCTTACTTCTGCTCCCCCCCCTTCTGCTCCTCTCCTCCTCTCCCTTCTGTGCCCCCACCTGCTGTTCCTCCTCACCCTTCTCCCCTCCCCCATTTCTCCTCCTCCCCCTTCTCCTCCTCCCCATTCTTCTCCTCCCCCCTCTGCTCATCCGTCTTCTGCTCCTCCCCCCTCTGCTCCTTCTGCTCCGCCCCTCCCCCTCGTGCCCCTCCCCCTTCTGCTCCTCCCTCTCGTGCGCCTCAGAGTGGAGGGGGAGCGGGCCCCATCGCGAATGGCAACAGGGGGTGGCTGGTGTGGAGTGTGACCAGCAGGGAGAGAGAGTGCGGGCTTGTTGTTGTTGGAGTCGAAACAAAGTAAATTGTTCCTTTGATCCTCCTCCTTCCCTCTTCGGCGCCTCCCTCTCGTGCGCCTCAGAGTGGAGGGGGAGCGGGCCCTATCGCGAATGGCAGCAGGGGGTGGCTGGTGTCGAGTGTGACCGGCAGGGAGAGAGAGTGCGGGCGGGAGATTGTGAACGTGCTCGATGAGGTGAGGCACGAGCACACAGTGAGGGAGAGGACGGGTGGGGGGGGTGGTAAGAGGTGATCAGGAGATCAGCTTGTGAGGTGACATGCACAGGGGATCAGCTTGATGAGGTGAGGTGGCAAGGAGGTGAGTGGGGCGCACAGGCAAACGATAGAACCTGGAGGGTAGGTAGATAGATGACTGGGCAAGCACTGGGGAAAGTGGTTGTGGAGGGCCTATCTGACTGAGCTGTTTTTGCTTTTCTTCCTTCCATCTCCCCTGCTTGCCCCACACGCCGTTGTGCGGCGGCAAGCTGGTGCCCGTGAAGGCGCGGGCTGAGGGGGAGGCAAGCACTGGGGAAGGTGGCTGGGGAGGGCTTATCTGACTGAGCTGATGTTGCTTTCTCCTCTGTTCGCCCCACACACAGTGGTGTGACAAGCTGGAGGCAGCAAGGCGCAGAGGAACGGGTAGGGTGAGGCAAGCACTGGGGAAGGTGGCTGGGGAGGGCTTTTCTAACTGAGCTGATGTTGTTCCTACTCCTTCCATCTCCACTGCTTGCCCCACACACCGTTGAGCGACAATCTGGTGCCCATGAAGGTGCGGGCTGAGGGGGAGGCAAGCACTGGGGAAGGCGGCTGGGGAGGGCTTATCTGCCTGAGATGATGTTGCTTTATCCCTGTTTGCCCCACACACAGTGGTGTGACAAGCTGGAGGCTGGCAAGGCGCAGGGGGAGGGGGAGGGGGAGGCACGGACTGGGGAAGGTGCATCTGCAGGGAAGGCGAAGGGGGGTTCGTCCATCGATGCGCTGCTGGCGAATGAAGTGGCAGCACTCAAGAAACAGGTGCGTGCGTGTGGAGAGGGGGTTGAGGAAACAGGTGTGTGTGTTTTGCAGCGGCTCACAGGTGCGTGGGATGGGTAGGTGGGTGCCTTTTCCCTCCTTTCCCCTTGTTGTTCCTTCACCCTCCCCTTATCTCCCTCCCACTCCCTCCCCTCGTATCCCTCCCTCTCCCTGTGTCCCCCAGGCTCGATTGCAATCGTGACCTCAGGCTACCAGGTGCCCCTGTTTTGAGACGTCTCAGGCTACCAGGTGCCCCTGTTTTGTTCCCCTTGTGCATCCTCGCCTCCTTGTTCCCTCCTTTCTCTTCTCCCTCCCTTCCTTGGGCATGCCCCTCAGCCTCGGTTCATGAGTGTGTAGTCTGGGTGCAAGGCGCTGCTGTTCGCATAAATGCCCAGCACAAACACCCATCACTTCCCTCTCTCGCAATCCTCTTTTCCCTCCCTCTTCCTCCCCTTGCCCCTCGTCTTGTCCCTCCCCTTGTCCTCAACGCTCTCACCTGGTGACTTTTGAGTCGACTCAAAAGTCACCTGACTGAACGCTCTCACCTGGTCTCACTTCGGGGTGTGGAGTCTCGCTGGCTGCAAGGCGCTGCTGTTTGGACTCTTGCTGGCTGCAAGGCGCCGCTGTTTGCGAGAATGCTAAGTGGAAACCCTTATCGCTCCTCCTCTCTCTCCCATCGTCTTTCTCCCTCCCCTTGCCCCTACCGTTTGCCCTCCCCTCGCCCCTCCTGTTCGCCCGCCCCTTGACATCCCTCAGCCTCGGTTTGTGAGTGTGGAGTCTGGGTGCAAGGCACTGCTGTTTGAGAAAAAACGTTTTTTTTTTTTCCTTTGTCCCTCGTCTTGTCCCTCCCCTTCCCTCTCAGCCTCGGTTTGTGAGTGTGGAGTCTAGGTGCAAGGCGCCGCTGTTTCTGAGGATCCATCATCACCCCTCCCTCTCCCTCTCACTCCCCTTTCTCTGCTCGTCTTTCTCCCTCCCCTTGCCCCTGCTGTTCGCCCTCCCCTCGACATCCCACAGCCTTGGTTCGCGAGTGTGGACTCTGGGTGCAAGGCGCTGCTGTTCGTGAGAATGCTCAGTGCAATTTCCAATCACGTCTCCTCTCCCTCCGCTCGTCTTTCTCCCTCCACTCGTCTTTCTCCCTCCCCTTGCCCCTACCATTCGCCCGCCCCTTGACGTCCCTCAGCCTCGGTTCGTGAGTGTGGAGTCTGGGTGCAAGGCACTGCTGTTCGTGAGGATTAGAGAGGATGCCAGGAAGGGGGGGAAGGGAGAGAAGGGAGGAAAGCAGTTGGAGGAGGGAGAGGAGAAGGAGGAGGAGGGTGAGAAGGAGGAGGTGGGGAAGACGGAGGAAGGGGAAAAGGAGGAGGAGAAGGGTGAAGGAGACAAGGAGGGGAAGGAGGGGGATAAGGCCGGGGAAAAGGAGCAGGAGAAAGAGCAGGAGGAAGAGGTTACAGGAGGAGGAGAGAAGGAACCGGAGAAGGAGGGACAGGGAGGGGAGGGGGAGAAAGGGGAGGCAGGGGGAGAGCAGGGAAGGGTGTCGCCGTGTGAGTTGGCAGAGGCGGTGCTGCGGCATGCCAAGGCCACCCAGCAGTCAGCCACTCGGTGGGTGTGGGGTAGTGGGTGTGGGGCAGTGGGTGTGGGGCAGTGGGTGTGGGGCAGTGGGTGTGGGGCAGTGGGTGTGGGGCAGTGGGTGTGGGGCAGTGGGTGTGGGGCAGTGGGTGTGGGGCAGTGGGTGTGGGGCAGTGGGTGTGAGGCAGTGGGTGTGGGGCAGTGGGTGTGGGGCAGTGGGTGTGGGGCAGTGGGAGTGAGGCAGTGGGTGTGGGGCAGTGGGTGTGGGGCAGTGGGTGTGGGGCAGTGGGTGTGGGGCAGTGGGTGTGGGGCAGTGGGTGTGAGGAAAGCACGTCTCATCACTTCACCCCCCTGCCCTTGTCACTTCACCCCCCTGCCCTTGTCACTTCACCCCCCTGCCCTTGTCACTTCACCCCCTGCCTTCACTCACCCCCTGCCCTTGTCACTTCACCCCCCTGCCCTTGTCCCTTCTCCCCCCTACTCTCTTGACTTCACCCCCCTGCCCTTGTCACTTCACCCCCCTGCCCTTGTCACTTCACCCCCCTGCCCTTGTCACTTCACCCCCCTGTGCTGGTCACTTATCCTGCCTACCTGTAGTGAACTTGTGCCAGTTTTCTTCTTTCTCCCCCTCTTTGATTCAATTCTCACTCTCCCTTCAGTTTCTGTCACTCATTATCCCCTACGTTTGCACCTGCCCTGCCCACCCCTACATACACCACCCCTTACATACACTGCCCTGGCTCCCACTCTGGTCAACATCTTGACATACGTATTTCAGGAGGAGGGCCCCGGACCACCTGGATCATCTTGATCACATTCCTTGCAACGCTTCTGCTTTGCAGTGCCCAAGATACCCGAGTACTTCACTGTATGGCACTCCTTCTCACACTCTCCTTCTCACACCCTCCTTCTCTCACTCTCCTTCTCACACTCTCCTTCTGTGTGCAAATCAAAACAAGCAGCGCATATCGTCTCTCTCATCCCCCCTTGCTCTCCCTTCTGCTCTCCTCTCCCTTCCCCCCTTACTCCCCTCCCCCTCCTCAGGCGGCAAGGCGACAACATGAGCGTAATCGGAAAGGTGATGGCAGAAAGCTTGCTTGTGATTGGTTAATAAGCAGAAATGGGGTACAAGAGAGGGGAAGAAAACCCCCCTAAAATCCTGAAAAAACCCCCCCACAGCCCCCCCAAGGCCCCCCTAAGGCCCCCCTACCCCCCAATTCTCCTCACAGCCCCTCACAGCCCCCCTCGAACCGCCCTGGAAATCCCTGGGCATGGCCCATGCATATCTGCTCCCTGTCATATCACATTCCTGCTTCTGCTTCTACTTTGTGCTTCCTACTATCTATCATATCCCTCCCGGGCATGGCATGGCATGGCCAACCAGGGATGGGCGCACAGCACAGAGAGCCAAGAGCTCATCCACCACTCCCTCTTCTGTTCTGCTTCTGCTCCCCACTCCCCTCCCTTTTCCCTCACCCCTCCCCCCTTTCTCTGCCCGCCTGCGTATATAATAACAAGCACATACATTCATATTCGCTAGGTCATCAAATCTATAAGTCATCTATCACTCTACGCGTCGTAGCAAATAGCCTCGTGTTGTCGACAGGAGAAAATGGAACATGCGCTCCCTCCTTGTGCGTCTGTTTCTCTCTCTTCTTCTCCCTCATGTCTTGCCCTGCGCATGGCTGAACACAAGCAGGTGGCAACACATCTACTCCCTGTTTCCGTTTCTGCCACTCTTTCATATCCCAAACCTGGCCCAAACCAAACCTGCACTCCCCCCATCCCCCTGCACATATAATAACAGGCTCATACATTTATGTTCCTAACGTAATCAGATTCATCAATCCCTACCACTCTACACATTGCAAGCCAAGTGTCTTCGTCTTGGCGACAGGAGGGAAGCTGGCACCTGCGCAAGGGGAGGGGGGGAGTTGGGGTGGGGGAGAGGGGAAGCGGAGCAAGTGAGCGGGGGGAGCAGGGCAAGTGAGGGGATGGCAGGAGGTGTGAGGGCATGGTGGGATGGCAGGTGTGAGGGATATGGCAAGGTGTGCAGTGCATGCTCTGGGGCGACTCACAACGCACCTGGGGCCGGTTTGGTGGGCCATGCAGCATGGCATGGCGCTGCGCTCCCTCCTCCTGCTTCTGTTTCTCTCCCTTGTTCTCTCTCATGTCCCGCGCATGGATGATGAGGGACGGCCGCACAAGCAGCTGGCAACGCATCTGCTCCCTGTGCAAAGTATCTTCATCTTGGCGACAGGAGAAACTGGCACCTGCGCAAGGGGAGGGGAGGAGTTGGGGTGGGGGAGCAGAGCAAGTGAGCGGGGGGAGCAGGGCAAGTGAGCGGGGGGAGCACCCTAAACCCCCTTACCCCCTTACCTGGCAGGAAATGAAAGTCACCATGCAGGGAATGCAACCCACCAGCCAGGGCATGAACAGGCACCATGCAGGGCATGTGAAGGCACCGTGCAACATGCGAAGGCACCTTGCAGGGCATGAGAAGGCACCTGGCAGAAGGGGTAAAGTGGGAAAAGAGGGGAGGGGGTGGGTGAGACAAGCTCAAATGGGCAGGCGCTGCACTGGCAGCTGGCAGAAAGGGGAGGGGAGAGGGTGGCTTGGACGTCTCCCCTTGAGCAAAGAATGCACACAGGAACAACAAACAAGCAAGCAAAACAAACTGAAACAGACAAACAAACAAACAAACAGGAAATATTGGGATGGAAAGAGGGGACGGGGTGAGTGAGACCTCTTCAATCAACATGCGCTACACTGGCACCTGCTGGAAACGGGAGGACAGAGGGGAGGTGTTGAGTGTGACACCTCAAAACATTATGCCTTGCACTGGCACCTGCTGGAAAGGGGAGGAAAATGGCATCATGCAAGGAATGAGAAGGCATCATGCAGGGAACGGCAAGGCACCTTGAGGGAATGAGAAGGCACATGATTTTTATGTGCCCTAGTACATTGTTTTGCTTTTGTGTTCATACATCCATGCATCGTTCTGGTTCACTCTTACCACGTGGGCGTGCGCGTCAGCTTGCCCCACCCCGTGCTGCACTGTCACGCCCCGCTGGCAGCTGCTGAAACACGGGGAGGGAGGGAGGGAGGGAGGGAGGGAGGGAGGAGAGGGGAGGGGAGGGGAGATGAGGCATTGGTCAAATGACTCGAAACAGAGGGGAGAGAGGAGGGGATTGGTCAAATGACTCAAAACAAAGAGGAGAGAGGAGGGGATTGGTGAAAAGACTCAAAACTGAGGGGAGAGAGGAGGGGATTGGTCAAATGAGTCGAAACAAAGAGGAGAGAGGAGGGGATAGGTGAAATGACTCAAAACAGAGAGAGAGGAGGGGATTGGTCAAATGGCTCAAAACAGAGGGGAGAGAAGAGGGGATTGGTCAAATGACTCAGAACAGAGGGGAGATAGGAGGGGATTGGTCAAATGATTCAAAACAGAGGGGAGAGACGAGGGGATTGGTCAAATGACTCAAAACAAAGAGGAGAGAGGAGGGGATTGGTGAAAAGACTCAAAACTGAGGGGAGAGAGGAGGGGATTGGTCAAATGAGTCGAAACAAAGAGGAGAGAGGAGGGGATAGGTGAAATGACTCAAAACAGAGAGAGAGGAGGGGATTGGTCAAATGACTCAAAACAAATAGGAGAGAGGAGGGGATTGGACAAATGACTCAAAACAAATAGGAGAGAGGAGGGGATTGGTCAAATGACTCAAAACAGAGAGGAGAGAGGAGGGGATTGGTGAAATGACTCAAAACTGAGGGGAGAGAGGAGGGGATTGGTCAAATGACTCAAAACAAAGAGGAGAGAGAGGAGGGGATTGGTGAAATGACTCGAAACAAAGAGGAGAGAGGAGGGAATTGGTTAAATGACTCAAAACGAATAGGAGAGATGAGGGGATTGGTCAAATGACTCAAAACAGAGGGGAGAGAGTAGGGGATTGGTCAAATGACTCAAAACAGGGGGAAGAGAGGAGGGGATTGGTCAAATGACTCAAAACAAAGAGGAGAGAGGAGGGGATTGGTCAAATGACTCAAAACAGAGGGGAGAGAGTAGGGGATTGGTCAAATGACTCAAAACAGGGGGAAGAGAGGAGGGGATTGGTCAAATTGCTCAAAATAAAGGGGAAGAGAGGAGGGGATTGGTCAAATGACTCAAAACAAAGAGGAGAGAGGAGGGGATTGGTCAAATGACTCAAAACAGAGGGGAGAGAGGAGGGGATTGGTCAAATGACTCAAAACAAAGAGGAGAGAGGAAGGTATTGGTCAAATTACTCAAAACAAAGGGGAGAGAGGAGGGGATTGGTCAAATGGCTCAAAACAGAGGGGAGAGAAGAGGGGATTGGTCAACTGACTCAGAACGGAGGGGAGATAGGAGGGGATTGGTCAAATGATTCAAAACAGAGGGGAGAGAGGAGGGGATTGGTCAAATGACTCAAAACAAAGAGGAGAGAGGAGGGGATTGGTGAAAAGACTCAAAACTGAGGGGAGAGAGGAGGGGATTGGTCAAATGAGTCAAAACAAAGAGGAGAGAGGAGGGGATAGGTGAAATGACTCAAAACAGAGAGAGAGGAGGGGATTGGTCAAATGACTCAAAACAGAGAGGAGAGAGGAGGGGATTGGTCAAATGACTCAAAACAAAGAGGAGAGAGGAGGGGATTGGTCAAATGACTCAAAACAGAGAGGAGAGAGGAGGGGATTGGTGAAATGACTCAAAACTGAGGGGAGAGAGGAGGGGATTGGTGAAATGACTCAAAACAAAGAGGAGAGAGGAGGGGATTGGTCAAATGACTCAAAACAGAGGGGAGAGAGTAGGGGATTGGTCAAATGACTCAAAACAGGGGGAAGAGAGGAGGGGATTGGTCAAATGACTCAAAACCAAAAGGAGAGAGGAGGGGATTGGTCAATGACTCAAAACAGAGGGGAGAGAGGAGGGGATTGGTCAAATGGCTCAAAACAAAGAGGAGAGAGGAGGGGATTGGTCAAATGACTCAAAACAAAGGGGACAGAGGAGGGGATTGGTCAAATGACTCACAACGCACCCGGGGCTGGTTTGGTGGGCCATGCGGCATGGCATGGCGCTGCGCTCCCTCCTCCTGCTTCTGTTTCTCTCCCTTGTTCTCTCTCATGTCCCGCGCATGGATGAACAGGGACGGCCACACAAGCAGCTGGCAACGCAGCTGCTCCCTGTGCAAAGTATCTTCATCTTGGCGACAGGAGAAACTGGCACCTGCGCAAGGGGAGGGGAGGAGTTGGGGTGGGGGAGCAGAGCAAGTGAGCGGGGGGAGCAGGGCAAGTGAGCGGGGGGAGCACCCTAAACCCCCTTACCCCCTTACCTGGCAGGAAATGAAAGTCACCATGCAGGGAATGCGAATGCACCTGGCAGGGCATGCCAAGGCACCATGCAGGGCATGAGAATTTACCGGGCAGGGCATGAGAAGGCACCATGCAGGGCATGGGAAGGCACCTGGCAGAAGGGGGGAAGTGGGGAAAGAGGGGAGGGGGTGGGTGAGACATGCTCAAATGGGCAAGCGCTGCACTGGTACCTGGCAGAAAGGGGAGGGGTGAGGGTGGCCTGGATGTCTCAACGTTCCCCAGAGCGCCATGAGCAGCGTCGTCGTTGTCGTTGGCGTGTCAGCGGCATGGCAATCGGCGGCGTGACAGCGGCGTGGCATCGGCGCCCTGAAGCGGAGCTAAACGGAAATCGCCATGTTTGGTGGCAGATTTTGGATGTGGAATGCCGCATTGCTGCTGGCTCCTGGAACGGCAGATGACGAGCTTGTGCTGGCTGCAGCGTGCCTGCCATGACCATGCACACGTCAGCACGAACAAGGACAAGCAGAAATCGGAACAAACGGAGCTAAGAAGAGGGAATCTACGAAGAAAACGAAATTACTGGAAACAAGACTGAAGATAGCGTGAGTAAGAAAGCGGGCTTAAGAAATACTAATGCCATGGCCCATGGCGGATGGCGATCCAAAAGAGAGGCTGCGCTCTTGAGTAGAATGGCTTGAGATTGAAACGAGATCTGGAAAAAAAAAAAATAGCAAATGAAATC